CAACCACGTCGGTGGCGTCTCGCGACCACGCTGCGAAAACGTTCTCCTGTCGAACTTAAACTTGTTGCTCGACTTTATAGAAACAGTCGTCGGTAAGACGGGCGTCGGGGCACTGATGGCTGATTGTTGCAGTTAAGGAGACCACTGCAAATTAATATTAGCGGGAGTTTCTTCAGTTTCTTCATATCTTGCTTGCATAAGCATCCTTTCAACCCGGGATACTATTGGCTGCGCAACCCCCTCGCTGTCACTGTCAGACTCTTCCTCGCTGCCTGAAAAGAAATAAGTTACAAGTGTAGAACTTCTTGTAAGTCCGCACGGGTAGGTACCACCGCCTTGCCTATTTCTGCCGTGAAGCAGTAATGCGTTTCGGTTTGAAGGGTCGGGTAGCCGTTGTTACTATATTGAGACCTTAGAACTAGATGGGTGGGGCATTTACGTTGTAGATGTTTTTTTTTTATTTTTTTTTTATTGCCTTTGTAGGCAGACGAGCACACGGCCCACCTGATGGTGAGTGGTTACCGTCGCCCATGGACTTCAGCAATGCCAAGGGCAGAGCCAAGCCGCTGCCTACCGCTAAATGTCTATGGGCTCCAGTAACCACTTAACACCAAGTGGGCCGTAAGCTAATCTACCCACATAAGCAATAAAAAAAAACTGGTTTTGATTACAATATGTATTTTACATCAGCGATTGTTTAAAAAAAGGTTTAGAGAGATCATCTTATCATCTCGGAGGGATCTGTTACTAGACGGATGGATTCTACAAAATTAAAAGTATATTTTAATCAATGGTAGTCATTATTTTATCTTGTAGGTGGTAAACCGAGATGAACTTACAGTGGTCGACCAATTTTTAAAGAAGAATAGTCAACTTCCGAACTTCTGAGAAATAAAATAAATATTTAATAACATATTAACTTAGCAAAACAAATAAACGTATAAAGTTTTGTTTGATAAATAGTTACGCAGGCATGGACAAATTTCTTGTCCACGAGAAGTCGATAGGATTGGTTGGTCGACCATCCCCATAGACGACCAAACAGATTCTACTCTGAAAACCATAACAAACATTTGTTTACTATGGATATTTGTTTTACTATCAAGAACATAAATATTTAAAACAATCAGAATAGTCACCTTGGGTTTTTATCCACCATAGGAGGGAGAACCCTTACCCTTTTAGGGTGGAGGGCGAGGGGATGAAGGGCGTCTCCAAGGGTTGGCCCATTGGCAAATTTTGCAGTGTATCAGAGAACACTCTGAAATATGCATTGACATTAAAAGAAATATTTAAGGAATAAATCAATAAACAAATTGCAAGAAAAAAAGAAAAAACGATAAATCAATATATATATGTTGGCACACACCAGGGATGGCTAAGCGGTAGTTTCCGTCATCAGTCGTATTTGGTTGAACTCAGTTTATAAAAAGTCAATAAAACCTTTTGAACAATAATTATTGAAACTCAACACACACAACTTTCACAATGACAGGGTAAACCGACAGTTTCGTTCCACATACCGACAGACTGACTGACTGACTGCCAGAGACTCACTGACTGAGACGGACGGAATGACTGTCTGACACGGAATGCCACGACTCTGTCCACGTACCGCCATTTTATACTGTGGCGTTACGGAGTCTACCCTTCATTTTGTGATATTTATCAAAACAACATTTTATCATTTAAAATAATAATGAAAACCACCGTCCTAATATTACTAAAAGTCGTTATCCACGACAACTAAAAGTCGTTATCCACGACATATAAATAATTACAATATATAAAATAAAATAAAATTTTGAGTTTTAGTTTGAAAAAGCTATTGCGGCTCAGAAACCGAAGGCCTGTCCGGGACACGACGAAGTTGACCACCACGTGTTCTCCTCTTGCACCACGGGCTGCCATACTGCCACGTGAACGGACTCTACCACCAACCTCTAACAAGCCCACGCCCACTTGCTTCACAGTTGTTTTCAGTACTATTTTGTACAAAATAAAGCCAACATAAACTAACTAAGCATGCAAAATAAACACATGCATGGTTAAAAAATTGTGAACATTAGAAGTGCTAAAATCAGTCAATCTAATCAAAATTAAAAGAAGTTACAAAGAAACATTTAAAAAAAACTAATCGCAAAGAAAAAAAATTGTTTGGCTTATGTGAAGAATCTGGTATCATAACTGATATAATATGTATAAAAAAAAAATTAAATATCTAAAATAAAAAATAAATCATTAAAAAAATTCATATGAAATTGAAAGGTCTTATCCATAATATTTTTACCAGCGGTCATTTTGTCATTTGACCCGTCTAGTCTGTGGTGAGTGGCTTTTAGTTGTACTTTGGTGGAATTATTTATCCCGAAACCCAGCGCGTAACAATATTTATATAAGTCGGTCGGTTCCATTGCTGTTATGTCTGTGTCGTTTATTACATAGTCGCCGGGCTGTATTTTGCCTCCGATAATATAAAGTGTTTTACATTTGTCTAAACCAAATTGCATGTTATATATTTACTGAACTCTGCTGTTGCTTCTACAAATTTTTTCATTTCTTTTTCTGATTGTGAGTATAGTTTCACGTCATCCATGAACATGAGGTGTGATTTTTTCTGTGGTATTTTTGAGGCAATACCTAGCGCGGCAACGCTCTAGCAAGTGAGACAGGAAGTTAAGGGCGAGACAGAACCACAGCGGGCTTAGTGAATCACCTTGGTAGTTTCCTTTCTTAATAGATATTTGACGTGTTGTGATAGAATTAGGATTGCAATTAATTTGTAGCGTGGTTCTTCATAGGGGCATTATATTTCATAGAAAATCTATAATTTCTTCTAAATCTATAATCTCACTCTCCTAACTACTTTATTTGATCTGTTGCTATTTGTGTATTGTGTAAGTCTTCCGCAGTTTGCTCNAATCACCTTGGTAGTTTCCTTTCTTAATAGATATTTGACGTGTTGTGATAGAATTAGGATTGCAATTAATTTGTAGCGTGGTTCTTCATAGGGGCATTATATTTCATAGAAAATCTATAATTTCTTCTAAATCTATAATCTCACTCTCCTAACTACTTTATTTGATCTGTTGCTATTTGTGTATTGTGTAAGTCTTCCGCAGTTTGCTCTCACTGTTTCTATGTATTTTTCTAGCCTTTGCTGCCATGGTGATTTCGTGTTGTTTTTTTGTTGTCTGTTACCTGTGTACACTGTTATTCTGTAGTTTAGTTCTTCAGAGACAACTAGTGCTGTGCAATAGATTAGTGTATGTTTGTCTATAAGTTTTGCCTCATTAGTTAAAAATGGTGGTGGTATAATTATGTTCATTAATCAAATTAACTAAACGAAATAAATTAGGGTTGTATCTGAGCTTAGGGAGTTTTGGTCGAGCAGCTGGGTCCACACCGGCATATTGTGTTAGAGTTTTTGTAAATTTGTCATGTATTTTTTGGGTACAGGTGTTGGTTATTAAATTCTAATCTGCGATGACTAAGTTCTCAATATCATTTTTTAACATAAAGGTTAAATTTTCAGTTTGTGAGGAAGTGTGTGATGTCTGTGTATTCTTGCGATTGACGGGATGGGTGAGATTGTAAAATTGGTTGAGATTGAGTGTAAGAATGTGGTTGTTCTTGTACAATATTTTCGTCTGTGTCTTGTAATAATGTCATGCATTAGAGCTTATTATCTTCAGATTCTTCTTGTAACTGTAAGCGGACTTCTTCTCTCAATTGGTCTAATATTTCTTGAGAGAGAAGTTTATTTCGTACTATAAATCTCCGCTGGTTTGATATTCTTTGTTCTAAAACGGTTACTACCCGATATTGTTGGGAAAAAAGTTGATTCAATTGTTGTCTGTATGTGGTCATGTCGTTCTCTAACTTGGTTATGTGAAAGTAATGCAGTAAAGTAAACGCATGATAAACGTATTCACCACATCTTTGCTCCATTTCTTGCGTTCTCGTGATTTCTCAGCCTTGGTGGATACAGGCAAGAAGGAATTTGCCTCCCGTACACAATTCAAGATTGGTATGGGTGAATCTGGATTAAAAGAGAGTGTTTGGGGTGACGATGGTACGGGAAGTAAAGATGATCTGTAGGGTGTGTACGATACAATACTTGGGCTATATGGTTCTATTGAAGTGTTCGTTCTGACTGTTAAACTATCACCCTGCGTGCCCTGGCGATCGCCTCCTGGCAGCGGTTCTATATGTTTACGTTTAGATCGTAGCTCCATTTTTGATGGGTTTCCAGAGCCACGTTAGCCACGCCAGTAATTTCAATATTTTTTTTCATACTTAAGCTGATGGTCTAGAGATACCATATCAGCGTCACCGGGCTAGTAGGTGAGCTCACGGGGCTCAAACCTGCCGATGTTGCTAACACGAACCCTAGCAAGAGCCAAAGCTTTGCAGAATCTACTACCGGATCGGAAATGCGACCCCCTTAGAAGATCCGGCGAGAAACTCAGCGGGCTGTGTCTGTGGGTTAATTTACTCGCCGCGCCCGTCGTCGTAAGTGACGGATTCGACGAGAACGATGTCCGGAGGTAATTTCTTATTCGTGTGTCCGCCCCACACGTGAACACCTACTTCAATCAGGACGTGTGTTATTATTATTTTTATCGACTTGTTTTCTCGGCGGAGCCGGTAATTGCATGTTAGTATGGGCGCAAGCCAAGTGCGAACTGCTTGATATTAATGTTTGTGTGTTGGGTGATGGTGTGTTATCTTCACACGGCGGAGCACACGCTCGCGTACTGCCCCGCTTTCGCGGAGCATCGCCGTGTCCTCGTTGCAAAAATAGAACCCAATTTGTCGCTTCCGACAGTCGTGGCTACGATGCTCGGCAACGACGAGTCCTGGCAGGCGATGCTCGACTTCTGCGAGTCCACCATCTTACAGAAGGTAGCGGCGGAACGGGAGAGGGAGAGCTCTTCTCCCCTCCCGTGCCGCCGCCGCCGAGCCGGGGGTCGGAGGAGGGCGTTTGTCCAGCTCCGGCCCCTATGAGGAGGCAGTCTCCTTCGGTGATGGTCACGGGGTGACCTAAGGGGGTTGAGGCTGCGCTGCGCGCTACCGTCACTCTAGCGCCCTGGCACCTGGATCGGCCCCAAAATTGGGCCCTGTGGTACCCCGTGCGGAACTGGCTGCCTTTTTCCATACATTGTTCGGTACTTACCACGAGCCTCCCGATTTTTTAGGTAATTCTCTATTAACTTAATCACATTATTTGCCATTCCAGCGTTAAACAGTTTCTTGCTTAGCCCTGCGTGATTTATGGAATCTAAAGCTTTACTGAGATCAGTAGAAATCATCGCTACACTGTTGCCCTCTGCCAAAGCGTCTGTGATAACCTTACCAGTTCGTAAAATTTGGGTACCAGTCCCTTTATTTTTTGTAAAACCGTGCTGGTATTCTGGGATAAGATGCAAACGGTTCACTTCTGAGAGAAGTCTGCTATACATAACTCGTTCGCACAGGTTACCCATAATGTTAAGTAACATAATGGGACGATACGAGGCAGCTTCGGTATGTGATTTGCCTGGTTTGTGTAAGAAGATACAGTCTCCCAGCTTCCAGCGGCTTGGATAATATCCTGTGCGTAGAGTGTAGTTTATTGTGTTTGTCAGTGCGGTATAATATGCCAGCAAGTTTTATTGCGTCAGCCCTTAGTTGATCGGGGCCTGGCGCTTTCTTGTTCTTGAAGAGGCGAAGAGCTTGTATTACCTCGTCTACGTCGGTCTCGGCCAGCGGTTGGTATGGGGTGAAGGACTCAGAATTTTTATGAGTGTCATCCACATTTGCTTCTTTTACTATTGCCGTGTCAACCAGAGTATTGATTGTTTCTTCTTCAGTTAAATTTGCAGCGTTGTATATCCGACGGAGAATATGTCCTCTTGGTGCATTTTTTGCTTTAGTTTGCTTCGGTTGCGATGTTGTATCAGGTATTGGATGTTTATTGGCAATTCCTCCCGTCGTGTTGACTCTCGTAGCGGCGCCATCTCATCTAATGCCGCAGTGAGTACATTTTCCAAGTTATCGACGTATGAATCTGCTTCCGCATCAGTGGTTGGCACAATTACTGGAAGATTTGCTTCGATTAACTCTTGGAATTTGATGCGAGACTCCTTAGTTTCAGTAATGCTGATCATCTTTCGCCTCAGTAGCACATGTTCGTGCGCCTCTATATCAACTTCCAATTGCCACGGATAGTGATCTGACGAGATAGAATCGAGTTGCTTCGTTCGATAAGTGTACTCCATGGCCTCTTGTGTCACCAGTGCGATATCGAGTATTCCGTTTCCTTGATGGCAGGGTCGAGATGGTAAGCCAGTATGCACCAATTTTGCCTCTCTGTTGCCAATGGCCCGCTGCACCAGCGCACCTGCGGCTTGTGTTTGAGAATGTCCAAGCTGTTGCATTCTCAAATTTAAATCTCTCTCAATCCGATCGCTACTCCCTCAATACGACGATCAACGTCATCCACGCCTGGGATCACAGTCGTTAGATTCCAGCGAAGACCTTCCTTTATGTACATTGCAGTGACAAGATGAGTTGCCCTAGTATCGTAAATTTAGTTAAAACCTGGAATGTTATATTTACACTTTGTAAAATCTACTTTACACTCGTTTACTATTATAATATCCGGCCGTTGTTTGACTGCCAGTTGCTTGAGCTCGATGTGTTTGTTGCGAAGTCCTTGAATGTTACAGTGTACGATTCTCACACACTGTTTTCTTCTTCTGAGCGTATTTGGCAAATTATCCATTGATAAGCTCAATTACAAAATCCAAAATTGTTTCTGCGGGATAGCCTTTTGCCTGCAGACTTTTCATCAACTCTTTAAGTAGTCAGGTAACGCCTTCGCCATGGATTCATTCTCAGGGGGCTTGCGTGTGGTTTTAGTGCTACTTGAGGCACCTACTGCTGCTGCATAGCTGGTTCTGTCGACCCGTGTGGCTGCGGCTGCTTTTATATTCGAAGCTTCTATCATACGGTTTGTGGGCTTTTGTGTAAGTCCTTCATTATTGACGAAAGCCTGTCGCCTGTTTTTCTGTTTTTTTATTTCTAACTGGAATAGCGGGCACTTTGCCTGTCTTGCTGTATGACCAATTTCGTGACAGTTGTAGCACACATGCCAAACATCTCCATCTTCGCGTTGCTCAACAGAGTCTGGTTGCTCTGGACGCCGGCAGTGAGATTGCACATGACCAAATTGCCAGCACCGCTTGCATTGTGTCACCGCGGTGTCTCGTACCTTGTATTTCTCGATTGTAGCACGCTGACTTAAGATAAACTTTATATCGCGGGCTACTCGCATGTCAGTTTCACCTGGGAAGATGAGAATCAACGCTGAATTTTTCATAATAATTAACCGTTCCATCTTGATTCCATATCTCGCAAGAATATCGGCTTTGATTTCTTCCTCTGTGTAACCTTCGGCGCGGACCCCTTTAGCTATTAGTTTCTTTGCCGGGCGATGATCGTCTTTTCATCCGTATGTGTAGTAATTATATTTTTCTGGGTTTTCATTTAGTCGTCTCTGTATGGCTTCATAAGCTTCCTTGCTTTTTGGAATAAATGTTATTTTCTTGCTCTTTGGATTAGCGCGTATTTCACAATTACTCACTCGAGCAATTTCATTAGCCGCCTTCCACTCGTTTTTATCCGAGATCCATGCGTCATATTCACATATAAATGGAGGATATCGCTTTGTTCTTGTATCCTTCGTTAAATTTTTATTTGATCCATTTGTAGCACTGCTTTGTCCCGTGTTGTCAAAAGGGAGATACGCTGGTGAGACGCCAATAGATGCCGCCCGTGTCTTATGAACACGTCGTTGCTTGGTGCCCTCAATACTGAGACGGTATCGTCAGATTCCCTATCTCGTTCTTCCTCATCAAAAGCAAGCGGCGAAAACATGTTACTTGTTAGTATAGCGGTCGGCTTCGGTTCTACTCGTGGTCGGTGTTCTTGGTTTGGTTTTGGCTGCGGTTGAATTCCCGCGCTTTGTGAACCCCAGTTGGGAATTATGTTATCACGTGATGCTTGGTTCGCGTCCCGCGACGCCACGGTTTTAATGCCTCTAGATTAATTATATTTCATAACATTATCTTTTGCGGATTGCTCTTTTGTATGACTTATTCTAGCAGCCGGCGTCCACGGTCCCTCGACTTGCTTTTTTGCCATAGGTTTGATGGTGTCGCATCTGAATTCAACGCGGCTCATCTTCTTGCAGTATGTACATATTATTCTTTCGCGAATAATGAATTCGTTTTGTGCGATCACTTGAACGAACAACGGTCCTGAGCATTCACACAGCGGGCCTTTGCCTTGTTTGAGCTTGTTCGCATTTGCGAGGTAATGCACATACTTTGTATTGAGTTTAACGGAACCATCTGAGATGCTTTCTAGTTCACTGCGAATAAATATTTTGACAGCACTCACTTGTTCACACGCACACTTGTGATTCTTAGACATGGATTGATCGCCAATCCAGTCGTAAAAATTCGCTTTTTCCGAAACGATGCTACAATAAAAACATTGCACTGTGTCTAATCCATTGCTGGAATTAATTGGAGCTGTGTCAAACACAATCTTCTTAAACGGCGATTTATCGTCCGTTTTCCACTCACTATCTACCTCCATTCTTTCACTTATAACCTAAAATTGTCAATTTATNTTAGACATGGATTGATCGCCAATCCAGTCGTAAAAATTCGCTTTTTCCGAAACGATGCTACAATAAAAACATTGCACTGTGTCTAATCCATTGCTGGAATTAATTGGAGCTGTGTCAAACACAATCTTCTTAAACGGCGATTTATCGTCCGTTTTCCACTCACTATCTACCTCCATTCTTTCACTTATAACCTAAAATTGTCAATTTATAAGTATTAATTAGCGATAAAGATACTAAAAAGCGCTTGCGCTGCACGTCGGCCTGGAGCTACATCACGCAGCCCCGCTCGTGGCGGGGCGTCACTGGAGTAGCGGAGCTCGATGCGCGTACACGTCCGTTCTCCTCGAGCGCCAGCGCGCGAGTCCTTGGTTATGTCTGTGAGTGTAGTCGGTCTGTGTGAGAGTTGTGCATGTTCCTGTTGTTAAAAACCCGATCCTTTTGTCTAATCATTTCCTTTTTAAGTTATTTGCGAAACGTCTGCAATACGCAATTACCCGTACCATCCGCGTGAGAAGAAAACCTTTCCAGGAATGAACTACCAACTATAGTACAGTAAGTTCTTGTCTTTGCTTCCTCCACCATCGTATTGATATTCTTTATCAATATCAATGTAATCTTTATTAAGAAATCTATAGCGCTTAGTTAGAAACTTAACTTTTAATGTTATATCGTTCTTCAAGCAAAGTCCAAGCCCTAGCGTAGTTGTCATGAGTGATTGGAATATTGCTCAGCCTCACCATTGAAATAATCTCTTAAGTAGAGCAATTTTTGGACATCGCTTATATCATGATTGTATGAACTAGTGACTTAAACAAGTCATGGAATGTGTTCCATTCAGAATATTTTTTTCCTGAGAAAGTGTTGATATTAACCATCGATAATTTTACATTGGAAGTTGAAAGGTTAGATCTATCAGCTATGCTTGGAGACACACCTTGGGCTATTGAACCACGACATTTAGCAATTTTAGATTTTATATTATTCCCCAATATTCCCGGCTAAGACCAGATTCCTCCAGCATGTATCTTGCTTTCTCTAACAAAGTCCTATTTAACTTCTCAGATACTCCGTTCTGCTGAGGGCAATACGGAATGGTTATTTGATGAATAATTCCCTGAAACTTAAGAAAATATTTGAAACAATCATTAAAATATTCACCGTCTCCATCGATTCGTAGACATTTTATGTTGGCTCCGGTCTGTTTCTCAACAAGGTTTTAAAATCAATAAAACGAGACTTTACCTGATGTTTCTCTTGTAGAAGGCACACCCAATTGGCTGCGTAGTATTACCTGCAGGTATGATGCTACTACTACACTGCTACTACTACTAATGGAAAGTAAATTGGTAGCTAATTTAGGGATGAGCATAGCTTCTATTTTTATATTTGAACAAGGAATAGTAAATTTACTGATACCTCACTATCCAGGTACGTATTATTAGCAATACAAACCTGACTCTTCTTATTATTAAAATTTTGGAACATATTCTTATTATTTATCATATGACTGCTACACCCACTGTCAACTATGAAGTCATCTGTGTCACTGAATAGGCACAATCAGTCGCAATTGTAGCTTTCTCAGCCTCCTCTTTCTTCTGTTTCCTGAGCTTAAAGCATCTGTTACGAACATGTTCACTTTTTCCACAGAAACTGCAAAATACTTTCTTTTTGACATTATAGGTATTATATAGGCAAAATAGGCTTAGGCATGTTTAGAATATTTTTTGTATTCTATATGGTGAAGTTGCCGGAGTAAAAGTACTCGCCTGTATAATCCACGATCCTCGAAAATCTTGGCTAAGTTCTTCCAAACATCACTGGCAGTTTTGTAGTCGCGAACATACTGGTACAAGGCAGGTTCCACACCAAGACAATTTCTTGCTAATGCTCTCTGGTCGCGTTGAGTTTCTGTAGTAGCTGATTTATCCGTTGATTCCACACAGCTCCAAATATTTTCTAAGGTTAACAGCATGCGCATCGAGAATTTCCAAGATACATAGTTTGCCGAACCACGTAATCTCTCAATTGATATAGGCCCGGCGCCGTTGCTCGGTTGAGGGGCCGGCTGCTCAGCACCACATGAGGATTACGTGGGCATTTTGTCAATAGCGTGATAATCCGCACACTCTCTTCCTCTGCCCTTTGTTCCGATTTAAACTCACTGGGCCCATTGATAGGGGGGTGGACTAGCGGCTATAGCGTAGCCTTTCTTGCCGGTCCTGAACTTTGATGTACAGACTTTAGTTTGTCCCATACCTCCTTGGATGTATTACACCCTTTAATTTGTTTAAGTTCTGGTGGATATATAAGTAAAAGTAGCCTGACTGACCTTGCCTTTAAGTCTTCCTTTAGGAACGCACTCTTTTCTTCGGCAGTCGTAGTTGCCGCTAACGTTATTTCACCACTAGCGTATTCCCACAAATCATATCTTATGAGAATCGCCTGTGCTTGTAAGCACCATATCGTAATTTGATTTTGTTAACGGTTCTATGCTCCAGCTCATTTTTTTTGTTACTTACTATTTTATATATGCTTCTTCCATTTGTCACTAGATATTCATCCAACCACACTCTGCTACCACTGATATTTCAATATTTTCTTGACTTTTGTGACGTCTTGTCTAGTGAGTTTTTGACTTTATAATTAAGCTCAATATTATTGCTAATGCTGTGCAGTATATGAGTGTGTGCGTTTCAGTTATTTGTATTTCAGGCGTCACAAAATTTTGTAAAATATTTTGATTAAATAAATAAATAAGATGGAATAGTTTAGGGCTATGTTTCAGTTTAGGTAATCGTGGTCGAGCTTCAGGGTCCATGCCGGCATATTGTATTAGAGCAGGTCTGAATTTGTCTTGTAGTTCTAGAGCCTGTTTATCTGTGATTGGTTGATGGTCTATTAGAATTTCATTGTCATTTATTGAGAATAAAGTTGTGTTTTCTGTTTGCGTGGATGTATGTGATGTTGTGTATGGTTGCGCATTTAATTGCCTATTCTGGGTGAGTGTTTGATTGTAGATGTGAAGGGGCTCCTTCCGCGACATAAGCAAAGAATGATTGCTTGTTGGTCAGTCAAAGTGGAATTAGTTACTAATGTGAGAGCACCATTACAAGTTTATAATATGACATGGTTTAAGCACGATTTACCAAGTCGGGTAGGTAAGGTGTGAGCTGGTAGAAGTCCATGACTTGCACAAATATTAAGATAGTTATGCATTACTGTGCATTACTGTCAAAATTTTCGAGAAGTATATCAATATTAATATCACATATAATAGATACGTTTTTAAGGTTTAGGAGATCAGCCAGGACTTCGGGTGATGCATCATCGAAAGATTTCAAACACCTTTAGGAGGGTGATGAATAAACCGCAACAATCGCAGTTTCAGAATGGACAATTGCCTTCTTCAAAGACTGGTTCCTCAATTATCACTTGAAGATGATTTTTATAATAGACGACGGCCCCGTCATTTTGAGGTAGTTTTAAAATTATTATAACCTTCAATACTGGGCACGAACCCACAGCATGATAACCAACATTCGGTTAATATTATTATATCGCAGTCTAGTTCGAGCCTCCCTAAAACTAAAAGACCATCGAAATTTCGGGCAATACTTCTTATATTCTGATTTCATACAACCAAGCTGGTACACCGATCCCGCAGAAGGCGTCCAGCATCCTCCACCTCACAAGAAATCGATTTGGAGATGGAAATATTATCAATGTCTTGAAAAATTACCTCATCCATTTATAAAAACAAAAAAGACAGAGAGATTAAAAAATAAGATTCTGTATACTATTATAAAATCTAGTCCAAGCAACAGGGCTTAGATTATTTGAGGCAGGCAGATTACTTTTAGAACAAGGACTACTTGTTCCGGAGCAGAGAAACAATGAGACTATTGATCCAACAACAGTAAGGTCATGGAGACTAGCAGTAGCTGCAAATGTGTAAAGTGTAAGTGTGCTTAGTATACTATCATAAAGAGATAACACAATACAAACAGAGAGGCGATAACATAAAACAAGAGTATTAAAAAAATTAACTCTAGTAGCAAAACTTAAGTACATATATTTGTGGTTAAAGGTCGACGTGGAGTTGGTCATCTCAACTAGTCACTTCATCTCCTTCAGTTTGACCAAGTCAGCCTCTTCGTTAATTTTTAACTGTGGATGACCCTCCTTTTTCCTTAGATAGATTTTTCCTAATGAAGACTGTCCGCGCCAGTACTTCACGTACAAACGGGGACTACGAGGTCTGCGGGGGGGTCCAACCACCACCACGGCATCGACGACTCGAGCGGCGAGGGCCGAACACATACAGCGACACAGAACACAACGGGAACGATATAGAATCGCACGCGCGACTCGCGGCTGATATTGAATTAAACTTTATATACAGTCCACCTTACAATAAAACCTCAAGAACAATAAACTTACTTTTACTGAGCTACCGAACAAAGACCAACAAAAAGCGAATCCATGGGATTTAGCTAAATCACGAGCCAGGAAATAGAGCCTCCTACCTTTGGAAGTCAGGAACTCAGATATGTATATAGGTTTAGGGGGGACGTTAAGTTTGAACACAGTGTTCAATTTTCCGTCCTCCTTTCTATTAAGAGCCTTGACTGCTTTCATAAATTTCTCCTTCAGGATTACTGATGTAAATTCAACCAAGATCGGTTTAGTGGTATTTAGTTTCGTGGTGAGGAAAACATCCCTCACCTTGTGGGCACCAACCTGGACACCGATAATGGCACCAATATCCAGCACAGTAGTAACCAGCTGTTCCTTAGTTTCATATTCGTCCTGAGGAATATTACGTATCTCAATCCTGGAGGCGCACGATTTGTTTTCGACGTTTTCCAATTTTGATTCCAGCAGCTTTATGTAAGATAGATTATCCTTACGCTCTTTTTTAGCCAGTTCCCTTTGGATATCGTCATACTTATCTGACAGCATCTGCATTGTTGTAATGCTGTCATTTTGCCTTTTTATTTCATCTAGTGAATTCTGGAGGATATTCGATTTAGCATTTTGATGTGTCAGAGAGGCCCCGCCTCTGTTTGAAGCGTTGAAAAACCGAAGTGTATGCGAGAGTATGCGGGGCTAAATACAAATTTGATTCCTTCAGAAGTAGCATAATAACCAACAGACTGACTGGATCCAAGAAACCTACCTAGTTCATTGTTTGCACTCACAAAATTCCTGCCGTTGTCGCAAAAAAACTCATGACATTTTCCTCTA